TAACTCAATATACACACTTAGCGTTTTACTTAGTCCTGTTTACTCATATTTATTTGCCAATGCTTATTTGTTGCTACTTTAATTTTGTTGTATATAGATGAAGGCTTCTTGTTTATTTCACCACAACTTTGCTTTTTTTGCCAAAACTGTAAAACTAAGAAGTGTTTCAAACGCTGTTCTTGATCTTCAGAACTTCCCTGCAGTGAGTAATTGGGAAGGCAGGCATCCCGAAACTGCCCCTAAACTTTTGTTTGGAAAACGAGTTTCCTTTTTTATCTTTGACTTCTTTTCCTTAGTCTTTTATAAGTACAAGCAAGAACTCCACCCTTAATCACTGTCTTTTCTAAATCAGGGCAATTCTGTCCTGATAGCTATACAGAGCTTCTTTTAAAGATTCAATCCTACCAATTTGATTCTGTTATCAGTAAAAACTTAACTAAGCCTAAATTATAAGAAACCTACTGCTGACTGAGGGCCAGCAGAATCATCGCTCTCTAGTGAAGGACAGTGATGTGCTAATCTCACATCATGTTGACTGTGACACATATGGTTTGAATGGAAGTTCAGAAGCAGAATAATCAGCTGCTTCAGTATCAGTTTTGTTTTACTTCAGCCTAAGTTTTGACCCAGTGTAGTGCCAACTTTACTGTATCATGTATTCCGAACTCTTTTGGCAACACCAATTTAGGTAGAAAGCTATTTAGCAAAATATTCCCACTTTATGGAATCACTGCATCATAGAATTGTTTAAGTTGGAACAGATCCCTACATCTACAGCTGGATCAGGCTGCTCAGAGCCCCATCCAGCTGGACTTCAAAATTTGCAAGGACAGGACATCTGCTACCTCTCTGGGTAACCCATTCCAGTACTTCACTATTCTTACCATATAACTCTGTTTCCTCATATCCAGTCTAAATTTCCTATTTTAGTTTTAAACCATTTCCTTTTGTCCTATCATAACAGACTCTGCTAAAGAGTCTGTTACCGTCTTACTTATTACCCTCCATTTATATATTTGAAAGGCTGCTATCAGGCCACCTCGAAGCCTTCTCTTCTACAGTCTGAACAGCCCCAGCTCTCTCAGATTGTCCCCATAGGAGAGGTATTCCATCCTTTGGATCATTTTTGTGGCCCTTCTCTGGACGTGCTCTAACAAATCCATGTCTCTCCAGTACTGAGGACTCCACATCTAGACACAGTACTCAGGTGAGTTCTCACCAGAGTAGAGGAGAGGAGCAAGATTGCCTTCCTCAATCTGCTGGCCATGTTTCTTTTGATGCAGTCCTTGATACGGTTGGCTTTCTGGGCTACAAGGACATATTACTGGTTCATGACCAGTTTACCATTCAGCAATACCTCCAGGTCCTTTTTGGCAGGTCTGCACTCAATCCTTTTGTTCCCCAGCTTTATCAATAGCGGGGGTTGCCATGACCCAGGTGCAAGACACTGCAGTTCGATTTGTTAAATCTCATGAGGTTAACCTCAGCACACTGCTTGATCCTGTCTAGGTCTCTCTGGGCGACATCCTATCCCTTGATGTGTCAACTGCATCACACAGCTTAGTGTCATCCACAAACATGCTAAAGATGTAGTCGATGCTACTGTTGATGTCATTGATGAAGATATTAAAGAACACTGGTTCCAGTAGTGACAACTGAGAGACACTACTTGTCACTGATCACCATATGGACATTGAGCCATTGAGCACCACTCTCTGGGTACAATCTTGCAACCAGTTCCATGTCCAGCAAACAGTCCACCCTTTAGATCCATATCTTTCCAATTTGGAGAGAAGGATGTTATGGGGGCCTTACTAAAGCTGTTCTCTTTTTTGGCCACTGTCACACTTTTTAACCTGTTTATCTTGTAGCCTCAGAATATGGCTCATCTTTTCACTGCTGTAGTATGGTAAACCTACTACAGTTGCTTACTTCAGGTTTAGAGCTAAGTCATGGAGGTCTATGGTGTTCAGGGAAAGTCAGACATAACTGGCAAGATTAAATCTGCTGTGAGTGGAATGTTTATAAAACATCAGTGCAAGAGCTTGTAAATAATTCTAATGCCTACCCCACTGGGGAAAACACTGCACATCACCACACACACATTTTTTTTTCTTTAGTGTTTTCTTACAGTATAAGAATATTTTTTATTGGACTAAGTAAGTTTTACAGTGTTGATCGTTAAAAAAAAAACCTGGCTAGCATTGTCTTCCTGATTTAAGTAAATAGTATTCGCTTTTCATACTGACTTTATGAGACTTCTGTGAGTTTTGGTGTTGCTGATATAGTGGCATTTTGAAATCAGATTGTAGATATCATGTGAAAAGTAATTTTTCTATCAACACAACCTCCGAGAAGTTTATTTTGTTCTGCAAAAAATTAGGCACAGCTTGCAAAACAAGGCAAAATTCCAGTGAATGAAGTTGAGATCAATTCCAGCCTTTACTTTATGTGGAACAAAGAAACAATGAACAAAGCCAGATCTTAATGTAATTTTATCTAAAGAAAGCGTGCTTTGATAGACTAACATTACAATTATGGGATAATTGCCACTGTGATTGGACAAGAGCATAGTGTAATGATCTTGCTGTACTTTTGTTCTTTGGTTGTTCCTTGTTAGGCTTCTTAGAGTGTTTGTGATCTTTTCTTGTGGCTTACAATTTGCCTTATCCTTTCTTTGCATTCAAAAGTATTTGACTGTGCAAAGTATTTACATCTAATCCAAGAATTTTTATATGTATATGTGTATATACTTATCTATAAATAAAATTTACTCTAATAATTGAACCTAAAGTTATTTAATCATCAGATTCAGATCAGGTGACAAGCAGCATCAAAATCAAATGAAGGTATCTGTTGGAAAGATAGTTCTGACAGTTGTCTTTCTTAATTTTTTATTTTAATATATTAAGGTGAAGCATCTACTGTTTCCATTGTTTAAATATGGAAAATAAGTACATTGGAAGAATTTAAGTGAAAATTAGGTGAAGTTTAAGCCAGTCTGAAAGTGTGAATTTTAGACTCTCTAGATCCCCAAGCAGTAATTATATAAGTCCACATCTTGAGATGTCTCGGCAATACGGCATAAACCTCCTACATGTCTTCACTAGGATACAGAGAAGATGCTTTTCTGTAACAAGGTTCCATTACAAGTTTAACGAGATTGGGTTTGCGTGGATCTAACATCCATAGATGCGTGCAACTAAACTAGTATGTGTACTTGGTAAAGGAAAGCTGCCATATGGTATCTGCACGTCCCTTCTCCTCCCTCTCAAAAGGAGATCTTCAAACACAAAGTTCTGTGGGAGAACTGCATCTTATTAATTTATGTCTCGTAAACAGATTCATCTTCCAATCGCTGAATGATGCCAATGTCTTAACTGCTAATTTTGTATAATAGACTGGGTTAGGGATGTTCCCCACTTCTGCTGTTGACACTATGATCAATTTGAAGCAAATTATCTATCTTCATATAAACAAAAGTAGGAATGACATTCTGTCTAAGGCATTTGCTTTTTTATTCATCCAAAGTCACTGGATTAAACTGAACAAAATCTGAGAGGCAGTAACCACAATCAGTGAATCATAACTGCTGCTCTTTTTTACTGTTTGTTGAAGTTAGGAAGGCATTTTTCTAGGATACGACTTCCATCTGTAAATCCTAGAAAGTCACTTATCTCCTGTTTTACAGCTTAAGTTCTACTTCTGAGCCCATTACTCATTCAGTATTTCGGAGATATACATATCCTTCTTCAATAACCCTAGAAGAAACTTGTTTCTCACCTTCTCTTAGTAAAGCAATCTATCCCAAATCATGTTGTTGGTTTTCCCTATTCCTCCTGTATTCCTTCCTTTACAGCTTCAGTGAGATAAGTATAGGTTGCTTCTTCCCCTTTCTCTGGCCCCAGTGATAAGGCTTGCTCCTGGGAGACATTATGGCTTCATATTTCTCCAGAAGACTCTGAGATACTGTCTCCTTTTTCATGTATATGAAGACATTATTAGCGAAATATACCCTCATTTTCCAGTAAAGTTTTATGAAAAAATTACAAGCCAGACGCTTGATTTATGTAGCAATGTGCAGGAAGTAGATTTTGCTGCAATTGTCAGTCTCCTCATGATGTCCGTCTCCCAGAGATGCTTACATGGAGGCAAGAAAAACATTGTATGCAACCTTATTTTCTTTCCTCAGCATTTCCATGTGTTTGCCCCTGTAGCTGTGAACTCAGGACAGACGTAGCCGTGTCCTCTCTTGTTTCTCTGGTGGGACAAAAGTGTCCCATTCAACATCCTTGTAGCTGGTGCATTTGACTTTGGGCATTGCGTTGCTGAGCAATGCAAATGCTGTCGTTACTTGCTGGAGTTGGGCTTAGATTCCTGGGTCATGGTTGTGTTTTCAACTAGTTGACAGGGCTCCTTAAGGAAAGAGATATTTAGCACTGCAAATCACTAAGACTTCTGTGGCTTGAACTCTTAGTTATTTTCCATTCATCACTCAGAGACAGCTTTGGCAGAAGTAAGTTCCTGGCTTGTCATGTAACTGATGGAATTAAAAATTCTGAAACTGATGAAACACCCTTTCAAGCATAGGGATGAATAACATGATTACCATTAGCAGGAAGAACTGTTTTTGTATCATGTAAAGAGAACAGCTACATAAATATTCAATCATTGTATCAGTGTATTGCAGATCTCTGGGCACCTCTTTTCATTCCCTTTCCTGTCTTTGACACCTTCCACTTTCTTATGCTTTCCAAGGTGGATTCCCTGTGCTCAATTCTGCCATGGTGCAGGGACTATGTCCTGCAGGGACTACAGATACACTGGAAAAAACTGAATGTCCTCATTTTACTAAAATAAAAGAAGAGACTGAGCAAAAACACAAGATGTTTCTAAAGTTTCTGAATGTACTGTGTGCAGGGCAAACTTCATATGCAAAGAGATCTTGATATTTTATGGTTCCTTTTGGTGACATTGATTGTTTTCTCTTGCTGTTTCAGGCTTTATTTAAAAGGTCATAGTGGAACAGCTGGAAAACAGAGTAGCCTGATCCTGCATGGTGCTGAATTCAGTACAAAAGATGCTGACAATGACAACTGCATGTGTAAATGTGCTCTCATGTTAACTGGAGGTGAGTACAACTCTAAAAATATGTAATACATTGTTGAGAGTCCACTCTATTTTCCTTAAGCAAATATGGATGAAGTTGCATGCATGGATGTGTAAGTACTATGTGAAAATTCCTTTTATTATTATTACTTCTTCTCTTTTCTTCATGTACGGTGTGGTAGTGCCAACACCCCACAACAAATTTGTGGCAACAAATTCAATAGGGAAAGCACAAGTTAGCTTTCTTGTTGAGGTAAGAAAGGCAAGGAGGGAAGGAATAAAGAAATGAAGAAGGGGGAAAGATGTTTATAAGATGCTGGAAAAAAATACCTCTGAAAAAGAAGAGAGAAAGGGTAGGGAAATAGAAACATATTTCATTCTGAAAATAATGTCTGCTATTTATTTCCATGGAAATTACAGCAGATACAAAAAGCACAATAACACAATTTGGTAGATCAAATTCTCAGCTACAAAACACTATTTTTCAACACAGGCACCACCACTATCTATGCATGCTCACCAGCAGTGAACAGGAAGGACCTGCACACTAGGCCCATAACAATCTGCAACAGCAGATGTTTCACAACATTGTTTCACAGCTGCTTTGATGACATCATTGCTAGGAAAATGTTGCCCGCACAGTTATTTCATTGGGCAGAATAGATGGGAAATATTTCCAAATTGTACGGTGAATGTGGCAGGAGAGTCCATCCAAAATTAGCAGTGTGATCTGCAGTCTTCTAAATGAGGCCTAGCATTAATTTTGTTGCAAGAGAAAGGTTTTCTTCTCTGGACTGACTCTGGAAGTTTGAACCTTCAGTTTTGTCAGCATTGTGATGTAGCATTCAGAGTTGATGGTTTGTCTGGAATCCAGAAAATCCAAAAGAATCACACCCTTCCTATCCCAAAAGACAGTTCCTATCACTCTATCCTCTGAGGGATGGCTCTTGTACTTTTTTTCACTAGGGAGTTCATGTCACCACTCCATGGACTGCTGTTTTGACTATGGCTTGCAGTGGTGACATCTATAATGATGCAATCTAGGGACCTGTGTGATACTATTATTGAAATAACTACTGAGATTCAGCTCTCTGTCTTATATTCTCATACTTGTAGACTCAAATCATAGCACTTAGGTGTTTTATAATGTTTAAAACAAATCCTTAGTGAGCAGAGTCAAAATGCAGAAGACAAGAGGGAGGAACTGAGGTGAGGGGAGATCACAGAGATGTAACATTTGAGTATCTGAAAGAACGAAATCAATATGACTACCAGTAAATATAGCAAATGTAACTGATATCTGTTCCCTCCAATGTGGAGGAGGAATATCCAAGGTTAGCTCCTCATATAGATGCCTAAAGACCTGCAAAAGAGTCAGAAATTTCTCTTAAAATTGGTGCTAATTCTGAGTTAGTGAATGGGCAAGTCGGTATGAAAGGGCAAGGTCATTTTTACCTCTTCGACGGCACTGAAGGAGAAATCTTGTGCTGTGATTCTTTGATTCATAGACTGCATTACCAAGAAAGGCTCTTATCTTCACATCCGATCTTCTGAGAATCTCCCTCTGTGATTTCTAACTTTCTTGGAAAAAACTCTGGAACATAAAAATTATTCTGTATTTTGAATCAGACTTTAAACCTGATATTATTTGTGGTTACTGGCACTCTGAGTATATCTAGCTCGGGCCACATTCAGGCATATTTAACGCTTAAGATTAACGCTTCTTAACAGAAGATGATTTTTCTAGTGGAAATTCTTAGCAAATGCACAGCCTACCTCCTCATTCTCTTTCCTAATTGGATATTACCCAGGTGGGAGAGTCTTTAAGGAGTTGATTTTTTTATTAAATGTCAGTTCATGAAACTTCTTCCAGCAGACAAGCGATCAGAGAGTGCTTTCCCATTTGCGTAGCAAAAGGTACTTCTGGGCAAATAGCGGGTAAGAAGTCAATAGTTGATTTTAATTAAAACTATTATCTTTCTCCTCAGAGACCATGCTAAATGGATAAATACTTCCAGGGCAGGTCAGAGCCCAGTGAGAATCTCCTAAATGGGAGTTATGTCTGTGCTGAAGTGCATATTCATTCATGTATCTGAAAACCACCTCTGCTCCTAGACAGCTAAATCTGGGATCGGTGGGTTTTGTTTATTTTCCTACCCTGACTTATGTGGCAGGTCAATGCCCTACTGAGGTCAGCCTGCTGTTCAACAACCATTCCACAAAGATTCACATATATTTTGCTGTAGCAGTCCCGTAAATCAGCAGGAAAACCACAGATTGGAATATGCTGGTAGCATCTAAAAGGAATAAATGGGAGTGGGGTGAATTACCAGAGGGTGAGGAAATCACAGATAGAACAAATGTCTGAAGTGTAAAAGGAGATGCAACTAGGCCTTGAAAAAAGGTGACTGAAGCAGCTATGCAGCCTTTAGTAAGGTGTAGTTCTTCAGGAAGAGAAAGACCTCAGCCGTGCTTTGGAACATGAATCAACCTCCCTTTATATCTTCAACAAATATTGCTATGATTTACTCTTTGAAAAAGACTTTCTCATTCCTGTGCAACAATCCAAAATTGAATTAAATACCAAAACATCTGTTTAACGAGTAGATTTCGGTTTTATGCCACAGAGAAGAAGACTGATTAAAGTAGCAATTCAAAAGTGGCTTTGGAAAAGATCTTTTTTTTTTTTTTTTTTTTTTGAAAGTTATCAGACTTTCTGTTAGTTTTGGCAACATCACAGACAGCACATTAATGATGAATGATACGAAATCCAAAGGCAGGATCCTTGCTATCTTGACAGTTTAGATGATCTTGTTATCTCTATGAGGTGAACTGAATATATTTATGTCAGGAATAAAGCCTGAGATAAGCTGAAGCTCAGAACTGTGATACGGTTACAGTCAAGGCTGAAAATAAAAATGTAAGGAAAACACACATTTCTGTCTGTGATCTCGCTTGTTGTCAGTTTTATTTGGTCTATGTAAAAAATATTTTTTCTCCTCCTTTCTACCCTCCTTCTCCCCCAGAATAAAAAAAAGAGTAGCGAGCATATTATCATATAGCATCAACAAAATTTTGTGTTTTTGTGCTCCTTGTCTTTTTGAGAGCCATGTTCTGCTGGTTGACTCTATCCTAATACTTATTTGAAAGAATAGTTTTAGTATGGTCTCATATGAGCTGGATTCTCAACTCCTGTGAACTTTTTACAGAAGTTAAATGTTTTAGCTGGTTTTTTTTTATGGAAAACTTGGAAAATTTCTAGAAGAGTATGCCAGTGATCTACACGCAGAGCTTTTTGTAAGATACAACACTTTAAATGTAACGAATTCTCCTCAGAAAGAAGCACTGGATAGGTATTCAAGGAACTTCAGATTGATTTGCAGTGAAAGAGCACTTAATATCTATGGATCAGATCTGTTGGCATCAGGCCAAATTAGAGCATCCTGCAGGGTACCACCTGCCAGCTGAGCCCCAGAAATTATTTGTGCAATCGCCTACAGGCACTGCAATATAACTTAGAGTAACTTAGAGTAACTTGGACTACAGTGAAAGTCTAAATATACTTTGTTTGGCTTGCCTTTGCGACAAACTGAGATGTTTACACAGATATTTAACTTCAGATGATACATGAGAACATAATTAATCTTTTATTAAGCTTGACAAAGTGATATGATTCTAGATCTCTAGCTAAGACTGAAAAAGCATAGAATTATTTAGATTTTTTTTAATTGACAGGAAATAGAGGCCCATTTATCTACAGTCTTCTGTCTCCAGCAACAGTAAACAGTAGATACCTCAACATGGGTGTAAAAACAATGCAAAAAAATAACACTCCCCCTGTGCATTTCCCTAGTCTCAATCTTCTGCATCTCAATGGTTTCTTAAATCAGAGACATTTCCCATGAATATATTTAACAGCCCTTGGTATATTTCTTGACTATTTGGTGAGACACTGCTTAATGGGCAATCCAAAACAGTGGTGCATTTATTGTTTTACTTCTTGTTTCTCCAAGTGGCAAATTTTACAAATCTCTGGCAAGAGAAATATAGAGGATTCTTATCTTTTTTGGAGGGAAATTCCTGTTTAAATGTAGAACTCTGACTGTATGTGATCCGGTCAGAATACAAAAATACAGCTTCTGTTATATTTTATTTAAAACAAAAGCTTTGAAAGTAGTAACCTCAGTGCAACTTGAAATTATCTGGTGTGAATCCCAAGGATATATGTCCATTTATGTAGGAAAGAACCAATGTTTATGTTCCACTTATTGTTGTTTTCATAAAAATGTTACGTAGCAAAAACACCATCCATGAAGAATCATTTATACTACCAAATATTTTGTAGACAGAGGCATATAACCACCACGTAGATATGAAGTTATTGGAATTGCATTGATTTATGCTGGAAATGTTGAAATCATACAATCATTGAATACTTAGGGGTGCGAGGGACCTTTAAAGACCATCTAGTCCAACTCCTCTGCAATGAACAGGAGTATCCACAGCTAGATCAGATTGCCTAGGGCCTTATCCAGACTTGCCTTGAAAGTCTCCAGGGACGGAGCATCCTCCATATCTCTGTTCCATTGCCTCACCACTCTCACTGTAAGAGACTTTTTCCTTATGTCCAACCTAAATCTGTCCTCTTTAAGCTTGAAGCCATTACCCCTTGTTCTATCACCACAGATCATGCTAAAGAGTCTGTCTTCTTCTTTCCTGTAGCTCCCCTTTAGATATTGAAAGGCTGCCGTCAAGTCATTTTGGATCCTTCTTTTCTCCAGGATGAACAGCCCCAGATTTCAGCTTATCCTTGTAAGAGCAGCCCCAGCTCTTTCAGCAGATACTTGTAGGATCCTTCGGCTATTTTTGCTAGATGTATCTCATTAGACGTATAACTAAGAAATCATCATTATATTACCATGTTTATAAATGCTAAGTATGGACAATAGTAATAAAGCATTAGGAGAACAAGCAGAACCAAGCAGTGACTGACATATAAATTAGTTCTATTTGTGTATTTTG